GTGAACATGATGGTAAGGGGTCGGTCTTTACAACCCTCATTTTTACTGGAGGGAAACAGATCTTAAAGGTTAAAAAAATAAGCATTGCATATTAACGTCCTGTTGTTGTTAGGTGCCATTGAATTGATAACGATTGGTAGCAACCCTATCAACAACAGATCTAAATCCTGTCCTATCCTGTGCAATCCTCATCAGGCTTGAGCCCATGGCTGCTGTCACCATGTCTGTCCATCTCGTTGGGGGTCTTCCTCTCTTGCTATAATAGAAATATCACTTGTGGAGGGCTTTAAAGAGTAACAATTGTTCTCTTCCAGTTCAGGGGCCTTGAATTCAGAACTCAGGGCACCAGCTCTAGATAGAGACAGATTCTTATTTCTTTCAGGTACTTGAGGTCCACTGTACCTCAGTTACTAGCTTATCTTCAGATGACATATGTCTTACAACCATATTTGTGCTGTTTTCCTGTGTAGAATGAACTCTGTAGTAATAAGATTTAAGGAACATCTTTCACTGATACAACCTTATTAACATAATAAAGAAACCCCTGCTCCGAAAAAAAAAAAATATTATCTCCACAAATACAGGATTAGGGTTCCAATACATATGTTATCGTTGTTTTGCTACTGTTAGATACCATCGAGTTAAATTCAACTCATAGTGGTCCTTTAAACAGCAGATCTGAACCCTGTCCTATCCTGTGCTGTGCTCACACAATTCTCAAATCTGAGCTCATTGTCACGGTCTTTCTCACTTTTGACAAGCAATATTGTGTCATCTGTATAATGAGGGTTATTGATGAGACTTCCTCCAATCCTCTTTATAGAGTCCAGCTTCTCAAATAATTTTCTCAGCATACAGATTGAATAGGAATGGAGAAATGATATAACTGGTGTAACCCAAATCCACACCCTTCTTAATTTTAAACCATGTAGTTACATAATGCGTATGTCAGGGGGATAGAATTCTAATAATAACGCGGGTTAATTTCCGGTAATGTGAAGTGCAGCGATGGATAGACAGAAAGCACTTGAGTAGAAGTGAGATTCAAATGGTCAGGGATTGTGAGACCAAATGGTCAGGGTAGCTTTTCTGGGAACTGAGATCATGAGACAAAGCCAGGGAACAGCCTGGGAGGAAAGCTGGATGTGGGCAGAACAGCTAGTACAAAGGGCTTGAGGCAAAAAATGAACTTAGTTCAAAATAAACTTTGCTTTCCTACACTATTCAATCTCTCAACTATCTTTTCATCTTCCTACATTCTGCAGCGAAAAGACCCAAACCTCTCCCCTGAACTTCTCTATCCAAGCACCCACTCTCTACTTGGATGACTAACAGGCATCTCAGTTTCACTGTGGCCCAAATATAACTTTTGATCCCCTCCACACAGTCAAACCTCACCTCCCAAGACTCCCACCAATCCTTGCACCAGCCATAAACCCATAAAGTCCTCTCTCCCTCTCATACCATTCATTTGACCCATACACAAACAATATCTACCTATGTTACCCATAAAGCGGTGACCACTCCCACCGCTTTCAATACCCTCACTTGACTCTGAACCACTTTCACTCCTTCCCTCAGCTCAAGCAGCAGCCTCCTCACTGGCCTCCTCCTCTTGCCTAGAAAGAATTTGTTCTCCATGTCAGAGCCAGAGTGATCTTTTCAGCATGAAAAGGACAGTAGCACTATACTGCCCAAAATCCTCCCAAAGTTTTCCACTTCAGGATAACATTTGATAGCTTTGCTAAGACTAAAAGGCCCAGCATTATGGGGCTTGGTTACCTCTCTGGCATTATCTTCTCCTCCCTCACTCTTTCTACTCCAGTTCCGCTGGCTGCCTTGTTCCTCACATGTGCCAGGCACTCTCTTGCCTCAGAGCTTTTGCACTTGCTCTTCCCTCAGCCTGGAATGCTGTCCTCTCAGATATCCACATGACGTCTCCTTCATCTCATGTAGACCTCTGCTAAAGTATGGCATAGTCAGAAAGACCTTCCTTACCACTCACAGTCTTTCTCTATCCCTTTACCTTGCTTTCCTTTTCTTCAAAACACTCTACATAGTACATGTGTATAGGTTTATCTTTCTAGAGTTACTTTTAAACTTTTTAAAAGCAAACACTGCCTCTTGTTTACTTCTATCCCCTGAAGCCTGAATGAAGGAATGAATGGATACCACATTCATATCTACTGGGACTGAAAACCACTGTAATTGTTCCTTTTAAAAGGACTTACTGAGTTTTGTGTTCTGGATGGTCTGGGAGATATAAAAACTGTATAAGGAAGATGTAATTCCAAGTTTTTAAAAGGTTAAGAATTGGAGGGAAAGGGCAAACCACATTAAACCCTAAATCACCTCAGTCTATGATTCAATAATACCAGTACTACAAGTACTACGTTTTATATGATTTCTAAGAAAGAAAACAATGTGGACTGAAATGTTCCAGGAAAGCTTTGTAGCGAAGCAGCAGGGAGAAAGGTAGTTCATACGGTAAAGCTGGTAGAGGCCAAAGGCTAGAAAGAATTCCAGGAGAAGAGAAACAAAGAGTTAATCCAGTGATCAAGGCACAATGCAAGGATAATTATTTGGGAAATAAGGAAGTTCCATAAATTATTATAATGTGCACTTCTAGTTATAGGTAACAAGGCTAGTCTTACAACTTCCATTTGCAAATGAGGCTTATGATCATGTACCTATCATAGGCAAACCTAAAAATCCCAAGTCTCTTTTTACTTTCAGTGTACAAAGCTGTTGAGAGTTTTAATTAAGAAGTTAAGCTTGCAGAAATAATTAGTCAGCCATTATATTAACATAGGACTTTACCAATCACTTTACCATAGGAAATTTGGAGTCATAAAGAATTGGAAAATTCTTTCACTCATTGACTTGTTCAGTAAATGTTTTCTAAACACCTACTGTGTGTTTGATATTGCTCTAGGAGTTGTGATTAGCCATTCATCAGAATGTCATGTATTAATAAATCTGGTTTGTACAATGAAGATAGTTCTAGTGGCTGAGTGCCAAGAGGTTGTGCTACAATGCAGAAGCCATGGGGTTCAAGGCCACTAGCTGCTCTATGGGAGAAAGAAGAGCAATCTCCTCCTGTTCGATTAACTGCCTCTGAAAACCCAGTGGAAGGTCAGTTATGGATTGGTTCCAACTCTATAGTACAACAACTATGAAGATACAGGTATTTCAGTTGAGACTCTGATGATCCATAAAGAAAGCAGTGTTTCAGTTGAGCTCTGAAGATTCATTAGAATTAGGTGACCTTTTGGGTATAGCTATGGTGAAAATAACTTGAAAGAATTTGGGTGAGATAAAAGAATTCAGGCAGCTTCTCTACCCATTCGTTTGTTGATGGGCATTTAGGTTGTTTCCAACTACTTGCTATTGTAAACAAAGCTGC